GTTGAAAGACATTACTTTATTTATTTAGATATATTTATAGCTCACTTTTCTCTTTAACGCGCAACCCAAACGTCTAACAACATTGTTGTCCTCTCCTTCATTAAATGCTCACACAACAGCTGTGTGAGGTTAGGTTGCCAACTCCAAGTTGGGCAATTCCTGGAGCAGACTTTTTTTTAAAGACGCGGCAATAATGGCAGCTCCACCAGAAAAAAAATTTGCCCCACAAGCCACAAAATCCTGGCTATGGGCCTGGCCAGAATGAATAACAGCACTGCTGAAATCAGAGTCCTGCAGCAGCAGTTTGTAGAGACAAATTAAAGTTGGTGGATGAGCACATTAGGAAACAAGAGTGGTATCTGGTTGTCAGTTACAAGAGGTGAAAGATGACTCAGAAGCCCAGCTGCAGAGTGTCTAATTGGGTCTGGCTGAGGGAGGCCTTGGGGTAGATAAACGGCTGATGAGTTTGGACTGCGGAGTTTTGCAACAGGTAGCTGGGGATGAAACAGCTTTGAATACCAGGGAGCCCGCCAGCAGTGGGGAGGGTGAAAAACTGGAGGGGAAGTCCCAGGAACTCAAAAAGCTGGAAGTGAATGTGGACCACAAGCATATCAGCTGAAGGTGAAGAAAATCCCTTTACAGACTTCCTCTGTAAGAGCACCTCTGTGCTCCAGAAGACTGTAGGAGATGAGATAAGGCCTCAACAACCAAGGATGCACAAACCTATTATACAGGACCGTTCCTTTGGCAGAGAGGTGATACTAGCGAACAGTGAGTTCAGGGCTGCAATTTTCCTGTAAGTGGATTCCTCATCTTCAGTTTCTGTTTCCTGCTGCAGCTCGTGGGCCAGCAGGGGGAAAAAACCCAGTTGCAACAACATGACATCATTAATGAAGAAAACTCAGGAGTGATGTCAGTCCTGTCCCGGAATCACTAGAAACTCATGTTACTGCCAATGGCCTGCCTTGTTGTTTGGGGAATTAGCTAGGTAGCAGGCAAGGCCAGAGGGATACAAGGGACCTGAACACCTTTTTATACCAAGGTCTGGCACAGTAGAAGACTCCAGATTTGAAGAGTAAATTAAATAGTTTTTATTAAAGTATTTCCCTAATTACAAATACACTAAGCATTCAAAAAGAGCAAACAATACAGAACTTTGAAAGGAGAGGTGATTGCTAGTGAATAGCGGGGTCAGTTACGGGGTAATACTACCTGTCCAGATGTGCAGAAGTCCTTTAAGAGAATAGTGCCAATGGCCAGCATTATGCACTGGGGGGGGGGGGGACGGGGAAAAACGAAGGGGGAGGTGTGCGTGGATGAATATAGACTTTGGAAAACAATGCTAATCAATAGGAGGTCTTGAGGGGCTTGTCTCAGGTGAAGACAAAATATTACCTTGGCCAATCCTGTGTCCCAGGGGGTACGGCATCAGGAGGAGCCAAACCTGGATGTGACCAGTGAAGTTCCAGAGGGGCAGAGTCAGGCTTAACAATAGCCTTGATTAGATTAAGCCAGGTGCTGGGTGGCTAGTTGAATAGGTTTTCTGACACTAATGGCCCAGTCAAGGCAGTTTGAAAAGGTTCCCACGTACAGAAAAAAGGTGGGAGATGAGTCTCTGATTAGCGTCAGGAAGGATCGCTAAACATTTGAATGTATGATTGGTTTATCTTGGTATCCTGAGAGATGGAGCAGAAAAAGACAGGTTTGGAGACAAAGGATTCTCACATAGACCTGGGGTCACACAAAAGGGATAGGTGAAGTTCTGGAGACATATGGGCTATGTGCCAGGTGGCAACTGAATAGCCTTTAGAAATGCAGATACCTACCTGGTAGAACCCATTGTTTCATATGCATACCCTCTTCTGGGTGAAGGGAGAGGTTGGATATGGCCTTGTAGGTCTGCCTTGTGAGAAACCTGAGTATGAATTCCCTTTTTGCAGATTGCTTGCCGGTTGACTCTGTGTTTCAGAACCAAGAGTGTCTTCCTTGGTCTGGCTTTGTAGGTTGCTGGCTCAGGTTAGAAAGTGGGGTGCCCCTGTTGTTGGGGCTACCCTAGGGTAAAGGCAGCACCTCTGCTACATTCAAGGATATTACCATGGAGTTTATGGCCATTCCTATAGAGGTATGGCATCACTTCTGGGTTCTCCCTGGAAGTGATATTGCTGATGAGTCCCCACATGTCCCCCCGCAGTGGCTGGCAGCCCTCATACAGTCTCAGCTTACTAGTATGATTAATCAATGATTAACCTAATTATGGTTGCCAACCCCCATGTGGGGCCTGGAGATCTCCCAGAATCACAACTGATCTCCAGACTAAAGATCAGTTCTCCTGGAGAAAATGGCTGCTTTGGAGAGTAGACATGGAATTGCTTTGGAGAGTAGACATGGAATTACCACTGAGGTCCCTGTCCCAATCCCCCCTCCCCAGAGATCACATAAATCAGCCAGTCATAAATAAATGCTATATTTAATAAATCCAACAGGTTGGTCTTTAAGTAGTCCATAATGACAATAATGCCTGCTGATTGGTTTGAATTAGCAGCATCTTTGCACAACAACAAAAACCTGATGTAGACCTTCATCATGCATTCATGGATGTTTGGCATGAACCAAACAGACTGGGTGATTGGCTCACATCTGATCAGCACAGTTGAATACAGTAAGTTCACAGAGAAATTTGCAGCATCCCTGGTATATTATTCTCAGCAGACAGTGACAGTGGAGTCTTTCACATTTCGCTGATTATATAAACTGTCAAGCATCAAACTGCAAGCATTGCTTCTAGATTCCCTTTGGATTTGAATGGCTTGCTTTTGTTCTTAGAAAACAAATCCAGCTGCATTCTTGGTTTTTGGAACTAAGTGCAAGAATGTTTTCAAATTGTGCAATCCACAAATTACATAATCAAATCTCCCTTCAAGAAATGCAAGAAAGGAAAATTCAGGCAAACCTCCCAAACTCAAGAAGCATTTAGGAAAAGGTGAAGCTGAACGAAGTCCAGTTTTAAGGCTACTTGATGCTGGAGTGGAACATTTCACACAGCACTCAGCTCCAGATGAGTGACATTTCCACTCATGCCAAGCAGACTGCCAGAGTGGGGTATTGTGAATAAATTAATGTGAACCACATTTCAATTGGAGTCCATGAATGTGTTCTTGGATTTGCAGCATAGGAGAAATCAAACAAAACTAAAGGATAAATCCCAGGCCAAACAGATCTAAATAATTTCTTCATATGCCAGGTTCATCCCTGCTGTGACTGAGGACATGTTTATTTATTTATTAAATCGAACTTTTAGGCCACCCTCCCGTGAAAAAAACAGGGCTCAGGGTGGCGTACAACAGTGATAAGACTTACAAATTTTATGAAAGTTCAAATTAAAATAATACATAAAATACATTTCACAGCAACTTAAACCAGTCTGATGGTGATAATTCCCACAGGGCATGGATGTTATTGAGCAGAGAGTTCCACCAGGTAGGAGGCAAGGCAGAAAAAGCACTGGCCCTAGTCAAGGACAGCCGGATGTCTCTCAGGCCGGGGGACCACCAGGAAGTTCTTATCTCCTGAGCATAAAGGTCTTCTGGGGGTATACCAAGAGAGGCGGTCCAAAGATACGTGGGTCCCAGGCCATTACACGCTTTAAAGGTTAACACCATAACCTTGAACCAGTCTGATGGTGATAATTCCCACAGGGCATGGATGTTATTGAGCAGAGAGTTCCACCAGGTAGGAGGCAAGGCAGAAAAAGCACTGGCCCTAGTCAAGGACAGCCGGATGTCTCTCAGGCCGGGGGACCACCAGGAAGTTCTTATCTCCTGAGCATAAAGGTCTTCTGGGGGTATACCAAGAGAGGCGGTCCAAAGATACGTGGGTCCCAGGCCATTACACGCTTTAAAGGTTAACACCATAACCTTGAACCTGACCCGGTACTTCACTGGAAGCCAGTGCAGCTCGCACAGCATGGGTTGAATATGTGCCATATCGGGAGTCCCAGTGAGGACCTGTGCGGCTGCATTCTGGATCAGTTGGAGTTTCCAGGTCAGCCTCAAGGGCAGCCCTACATAGAGCGAGTTACAGTAGTCTATCCTGGAGGTGACTGTTACATGCATTACCATAGCTACGTCAGGATGAGACAGGTAAGGGGCCAGTTTCCTGACTTGGTGCAGCTGGAAAAAGGCCACTCTGGCAACATTTGTGATCTGGGCTTCCATTGACAAGAAGGCATCTAAGATGACACACAGGATCTTGACAATCTGTGCCAGGAATAAGGGCACACCGTCAAGAGCCAGGAGTCGGCATCCCAAACCTGTATCCCTTCCACTCAGCCACAAAACCTCCACCTTGTCAGGATTCAGTCTCAACTGACTCTGTTTTAACCACTTCACCATGTTCTCCAAACCCTTAGGCAGAGGATATGGGAACAGAGGGCTGATCTGAGTGATTCCCATAAGTAGACCTGTATTGTTCATTAGAACATGCTAATTTAATTGGCAATGAGTTCTTCTTTTCATACTAGTAGTCGGAACAATTGTTGATTTTGTCCAGTGTCATATATTCAAAGGACAGCAAACAGTGTGATGGATTGGCCATTAAGGCCATTGAAAAATGTCCAGGTGAGTTGACATTTGGGGGCCACCCTGGCTCCAAATGCTGGCAAGGCATGAGACTGCTCTTTCCCCCTCCATTAGTGGGTGGGGCCCTTTCCCAGGGCCATTATTGCTTCCCAATCTGCCTTGCCAATTTTTATGTTGATCTCCACACATCACACAGGGAGACTTCAGTGTTCCATTTAAGAACGGTATGATTTGTGATCTCAAGTAAGTCATGATCCTCTTCAAAGACTTGTATAAAAAAGGAAAACGGCCACAAATTTTCCCCAATGAGATAGTGCTGAGCTTGTCTCTTTAATTGTGCTTTACATCATATTGTTTCAGCTCCATCGTATTAAAACTGCTACCAAATGTGATTGGAAAGGGCTCTCAATCAGATATTGCAGCTTATTTCTGAACCTGGAAACTCTTGGTAGCCATTCCAAAATCTGTCACACTTTCAATAAAACAACATAGACATCACATATATAAATGAACAGAAAAAGAAATGAAATCAGGAACCTTCCCACATCATTTCTCAAAACAATTGGCATCTCAGGATATTGAGTCTTTTTGAAACAAAACATCTTCATTCTCATGTGCAGAACACACATGGACAAGGCAGGTGTTTATTCAGTAGTAGAACTACATCACCCATGATGCAGTGTGAATATGAGTGAAACACACTTGTATGAGAATATTCTAATTCAAGCTGAAGAACCTATCATATTTCATGAACTGATATTCAGCCAAAGGAATCTGAAGACAAAATACTTCATGGAAATCTGGTACTAAGCAGGGGTCATTTCCTGCAAGAGCGCACAGGAGCGGAGCTCCGGCAGTAAAGAGCCCAGGGGGGGCACATGCAACAAGCCCCACCCCCTGCTCCCAGCAGCCTGCAGTCAGAGCAAGAAGCAGCCAGGTAAGTTGCAGAGCTCCCCCGGGCCCCCGGGCCCAAAACAGTCCAGTGGCACCTTTAAGACCAAGTTTTATTCAGGTACAAGCTCTCCCTCCTCTGTGAGGGCGGATCTGTGCGTTTCCCCCCCCCCAAATTGCTAGCAATCCAAAACAGTCCAGTGGAGCCTAAGCGGTGGGTGTTGCCTTCTGACACACTTCTGGTGATGTCAGGGGGTGTGGCATATGCAAATAAGTTATGCTAATGAGCTCCTGCACCTCTTTTTCTACGAAATGACCCCTGGTACTAAGGATCATGAATTGAAATGGACAACAGAATTCCTGTAGCAGGTATTGCACATATCTATGTACTATTTTGACATCAGCAACATACATATTGGATCTCGTTAAAAAGCACAGATAAAACCATTTTTTAATTAAAAGCATTGCTATGTTCATTCCACTTACCCTATCACTATACAAGAAATTGCAGTCCCCAAGAAGGCGTACGTTAGTACTGATCCCAAGTTGCGAAAAAAATGTCTCTGTGGATTAAGTAGATTGAAAAAGAGAGGTAAATAAATTTCAAGTTCCATATTTTTCCAAAATAAATGTTACAAGAGCATAACTGCTCATACAATAAAAAATAATTGGGAGAGGAAAGAAAAAATATGCTCAGAAAAACAAATCACAATGTCTATTGTGCATGGGAAAGTTAAATTGCTTCAGATTTTATTTTCAGAAGTTATGTTGAAAATTAGATTTTATATACCCATTTTAGTGTGTTGTGTGCAATGTAACTTGTAAGCTAATAGAGGAGTTTTTTGTAGACACAGGTGTATCATAACACAGTAAGTTGGGCTGCACAGTCTATAAACAGTAGTCTTTTGATAAGTAAGTCGATCTCCCAACTGGTGGGGATATATAATTTAAATATTTTGTCCCACTTTTCTGCTACACAAGGGACCCAAAGTAAACTACTCATCAACAATGCTAATGTAACCAAAAACATACAACTCAACAAACCATCACCAGTTGTACCTGATGGATGGTACTATGAGCTGGTTTGCAGACACAGCCAGGATCATTTCAGATTTTTTTAGGTTTAAAAGCCTATACTATAATTTAAGAATGAAGAATAACAACAAAGCACAAATTAGCCACAATAGCAGTACAAGTTTTGTTGTGGTCACTCAGAAGTAATCTTAGCTTATGGCTGTCCACAGTAACTAAATATTTTAATAACCATTTCAAAAAAAAAAATTCTCCCTGGCCTCAGCATGTTTTGAACAATAAAGAAAAACATGCATTAATGAGTAAACCGCTGATAAAGAGCAGTCACAAAAGTGCTTTTCTGGAGATGTCCTGAGAAAGCAACCCTTCATCTGATCTGTGGGTACTGTATTACAGCATGTAACCATGTATGACCGTCTCAGTTTAGGGACCATCAATATGTGAAAGTCAGCTGGATACTTAATTCTTGTGTAAAGTGGAGAATGTTTCCTCTGGCATCTTTAAGCAAGAGGTCCCAGTCCAGTTTAAGTAATTTATTGTTGAGTAGCCTCCCTTCTTCTTTGTTAAGGGGCTCAAAGGCCTCATTGGGCACAATTGAGTGATTTGAAAATCTACGGCTCTGTTCCACAAAGAACAACTGCACTCATGGGCTACTGATCTAGTGAAAGCAGGGAGGTCTTCATTGTTAAGCAATCTAAATTTAAAGTTGATTATTGCTTTCCACATCAAAGTAGAAATATTTGGAAGACCCAGTTCCAGCTGTATGACTGTAGAAGCTATACATGGGGGAAGTGCAAGAATTTTATGAAAAATAAGTTGTCTGAAGCCTATCAAGTAGTTTAACTGGCCTTGAGAACCAAATTGGTGAGCCATAGAGCATACATGGTATTGGAAGTGTCCCGTATACTCTCAAGAGTGCTGGTATATACTGGGCTCCTAGGGTAAAAAAAACATAACTACTTCATGCTAACAGTGTTAATTCAGTTTTCTGTTAAACATACTGAATATGCTTAGACCACGTAAAAGTCAACTGGAATATAATTCCCAAGTATTTAAATTCATTGACCACTTGCATAAAATTCACTTCAGTTTTCCAGTTTTTGGTTGATCTTTCTTTGGATTTTGTGAATATCATTATTTTGGATTTAGCACAGTTGAGTTCATTGCTACAATAGGTTGTAAAGGCTTTTATTGCTCATTTTAGACCAATCTCTGTTCTTAACAGTTCGACTAAATCATCGTAATTAAGGCAGGAACTGGATGACCTTCCAAACACGGTGCATGGACAGAAATATCCCATAACCCAGGTACAAAGTTGTTCCAATACAGATTGAAAAGATGGGGTTCAAGGACGCAACCCTGTCATAATTCCCTCTGGACAAAAATTCAATTAGGTACACATCCCAAGTTGTTTAGTTTGACATACAATGAATTGCCTGCTTAGAGATTCATAATTAATTTCAGCAATCTAGCAAGCAGACATGCAGCATAAAGCTTGTTCCATAAACATGCTTGGGACACAGAGTCAAAGGTGGCTCTTAAATCAATGAATGATGCATACAGTTGTCTGGGAGTATCTATCGAATATTTGTTTATCAATGAGGCCAACGTATAACAGTGGTCCATACAGGAGTATCCTCTTCTAAAACCTGCTTGCTCATCACCTATAATTTTTCCCTCGTCCATCCATCAGAGCAGCTTCTTTTGCAGGAAGGTTGCATATAGCTTACCCAATTACTGCCAGAAGACTGATTACTCTACAAATGCAGCCAGGATCAGTTATGACTTGATCAGGAATAGAACTCAGTGATTCTTTGTGGATCAGGGAGTGCAGCCTGGCAGATTGTGGTGTATCCAGGGGTCATTTCGTAGAAAAAAACCTAGGGGAACTCATTAGCATAACTCATTAGCATATGCCACACCCCTGACATCAGGGGCCCGGCGGTGGACCTGCAAGGCCAGCGGGAGTGCGAGGAAGCCCCGCCAAGGCCCTCCCTGGCCCCAGGCAGGCAGGGGTGGGGAGAGGCGGGGAGGAAGCAACTTACCCTCCCTCTTCTCCTGCCTCCTCCTGGCTGAATGAGGGCTGGAAGCGGGGAGGCTGGAAGCAGGGGGCGGGGCTTCGTCATGTGCCCCGCCCCCTGCACCTCACCCGGGGGAACTGCATTCCCCCGTGTTCCCCCCCGAAATGAACTCTGGGTGTATCAGTGATGGGACTTGTGTATTGGAGTGATCATTCAAGTGGGAGGGAAATATAAAAGCCCAGGTCAAAATATCTGCTCTTGGATTCAACCAGCTTTTCAGCTGACAGAAATGGAAGGAGGGGTCACCTTTGACTGTTGAAAAAGTTGAAAAAGCTCAGGTGGTAGGACCTGATGTGGGATGTGGGCTACAGTAAGGAGAGGAATTGAATAGAAGTATGGTAAAAGCTGGCTGGATTCAACCCCTGGTTTATATTAGTCAATGAAACACCTAATTCTGAGGCAAAAATATCAAGTGATCAGGTAAAATAGCAAATTGTTGGTAAAACTTAGTTATAGCAATGATACCATATTGACTTCATAATGAAAATGGGAATCTAAAGGATGGTTTGCAATAGGGAATAATTTTCCTGTTCTTAACTTTGATTTCTGTAGGTAGTTTCAGTCAAAAGCACCTTCTAATTGGTAGTTTTTCAGATCTATCTGACTGACCCTATAAATCAGCAGTTTCATCAGATCTCCAACTATAGATGAAAGGAGAAACCACCTACTTTCTTTAAACTGTATCCAGCATGAAATATAATGGGAGGTAATAAAACGTTGAAGAAGATTGAAGGATCAAAGGTCATCTGCCAGAAAAGACAAAGACACAGGATAAGAAACATTAAGAATTATGTCTACATCGATTTCTACAGTAGTAAGGTAAGGATGACATCAACAAATCTGCTTTCTGCCAAAGCCTGTTCATCAGCAGGTGTGGACAAATCTCTAGAAAATAGTGGCTACTTTGCATTTTGTTGAGCGGTAACTCCTGGTGACCCATTTCTATGTAGAAGCTGCAATGTGTGGAATCAGTTTTGCACACAGCCACAAACCCACTTAAATTGGTTTCCAGAGGAGTTCACAACAGCCCAGTTTTGTGTACAGTTGCCTATTTTTGTAATATATCCAGGAGGAGTTCTCTTTCTTCTTCTGCCCACTCACCTTTGGAGCATCACACCTAGATCTGTCTGCATGTGTTCTCATGCCTCTTTCTCCTTTTTCACAGCATCTGTCCCTCACAGATATGAATACCAATTATCTCTTTCTGCTGACTTTCCCTCAAGCAGACACATGCACTATTCATGAAGAGGCTTTACCAATGAAAACACAATACAATATGCAATCTTTGCTCCTACCCCAGTAAGTTAACTGTTTTCTCTACACTTGCAGGTTAATTAATTTAAATATATGCAAACCATCTTCACAATTGGAAGTAATTCCTTAGAACTACATGACAACTATGGCTCAGAGTACCTGAGAAAGTTAGAAGCATTTAAGTGTGTGATATAATGCTTAAGAGCATAACCATGCAATCTGAGTTTGAATCCCCCATGTATTGACCGAAGTGCAATTCCTTTTTTAAAATACTTTTTAATTGCTTTTATCACAACAAACTACAAAGGGTAAGGGCATGGAAAAGTCTAACCTAAAATACAGATTTAGGCAAGGATCATGTTACAAAAATAATACATAGATTTTCTTGATATTCTCCCAATATTTAAAGTTTAAGGAATGAAAGTTAACCATTAATATTTCAAAATCAAACTAATACAAGCATATTTAGCCAAAGTAGGTGCATCCTATATTAATAAAGAGAAAACACGCTTTCAGAATTAAGCTATTTATCATATTTCTTTCCTCTGTGCTTGTTTTTATCATAGGTCAGTCTGACTTTAAGAAGCTTAGGAGCTACTTCTCCTATGTCAGATTCAAAGTCTTCTTCAGAGGGGCTGCTTGAGGAGCTGTCACTGCTTCTCAATCTGTGTTCGCTATTTTCTTTTGTTACAATGTTATCCTCTGCTTTTCCTTTTCCTTTCGCTGTTGTTTCGTGCTGCTCCAAAAATGCTTTGGCTTTTGTAACAGAGTCAATCTTTTCTTTTTTCTCTTTGTAGTTGAAGATAAGTCCTTCTGGAGTTATCCATCTATAGGGAGTGGAGTTTTTCTGTAAAAAGGATGCCAGGTTTTTGTATTGCTTCCTCCCCTTTCTTATCTCAAATGGAATGTCTTTTAAAACTCTCGCTTCTTCGCCTTTGATTTTTAAGGTTTTCCTATTAGTCACTTTCAATATTATATTTCTTGTTGATCTTTTGGATAACTTCACAAATACTTCACCAGGCAGTTTATTTTTCTTAATAAATTCTGAATAGGTACAATATACCATATCCATATCGCTTCGTATAGATTCCGCTTTAAGATCTGCCACTGGAGCTAGGGCTTCGCTTATAATCTCTTTCAAGTTCTCGCCTTTTTGTTCAGGGATACCTTGAAATCTCAGGACATATGATGACCTTTCCATCTGTAGTTGTAGCTGTTCTTTATCTGAGGTTGTAATGATCCCTTGTTTTAGAGTGTGTGTGTTTGGTTGGAATGCAGTGATAGCAGAGTAGAATGATTGAGGGAGACCAGTGTGCTGTGACTGGTGGATGACAGAGTGTGGGAGGAGTTGTTGGGAGTGAATGAGTGCGTGTCAAATAAGTCAGTTATGAAAGTCAGAGACAGCAGTTGGAGTTTTGAGTTTGAGTCAGAGAGAGTTATTCAGTTAGTAAATCTGTCAGTGAGTGATGACAGAGTGCTGTGTGGAAACATAAAGTGTTCAGAATATATGTCTATTGAAAGACAGATTCTTGTCAGAGAAGGATCTTGTGATCAAAAGACTGTGTACGATACCCTGCTAGTTTATTTTTCCAGTTTCTCTTCCCCATAACAGTTACAGTTAACCAGTAACTCATTTTTGTTCCAAAATTCAATAAATCATATTTTGTTTGCATTTAACCCAGAATTCAGTTCAATCCTTTCTCAAGGCCACAGAGGCCTCTGAAAAGCCCAGACTCTAGGTCACTTTACCAACAGCTAATGAAAGAAGATTTGGAATTTGTTTAAATTCCTGGTGGCAGCAGAAACTACCCTGTTTGTGAACACAAAGTATAATTTAAATTGAAAACCAGTCCTCCCCAAATAAGAGGACACCACAAAGTGGTGGTAGCAGTGGGATCCAAACATCCTGAGGAAGAGAACATATATTAAGTGGAAAATTCTGGGAGAAAGAAAACTCTGAGAGAAACATGACAGAGTTTCTAGGATTAAAGAAAGAGGCCCTGATCCAAAAGTGTAAAGACTTAAATTTACCTCATGACGGGGAAAATGTAGAAGAGCTGAGAGTTATATTGAATGAAAGCACTGTGGAAGTTAATAAAGTCACAATTGAGGGGACATATAACCCCAGTATTTACAAGAGAAACTGAGGGTTAATACAGAAAAGAGTAGAGAAATAGAAAAGTGGAAAGTTGAAGCTGGATTTAGAGATAAAGAATTACAATTAGAAGCAGAACAATTAGTTAGAAAGGCAGAAACTTAAAACTGAAGAAAATAGGGAGGGAAACCCTGATTTCAAATATGAGTTTCCTCGAGTTACACCAAAAGATTTCATGATGTATGTGACCGGAGAAGATCCACAAATCTTTTTGTCTACTTTTGAAAAATCTGCTCAAAATTGGGGAATACCAGAAACACAGTATATGAAGTATTTACCCAGTTTAATTAGAGGGGAATTAGCTGAAATTTAAAACACATTTCCCTCAGATAAGCCTGTTGTCTATACTGAATATAAAGAGGCAGTATATGACAGATTCAGATTAAGTGCTGATTACTTCAGGAAAATTTTTAGAAGCCTGATTCCTCAGAAAGAGAAGTCTTTCAAGGCATTCAGTGCAAACTTAACTGATTGTTTTGACAAATGCCAAAAGAAAAAATAAGGGAATTGATTATTTTAGATCAATTTCTTTTTCAACTTCCCTCAGAGACAAGACTTTTAGTGAAAGATAAGCTTCCTGAAAATGTCAAACAGGCAGCAAAATGGGCTGATAAGCTAATACTTAATAGAGGAGGTTGGGATAGGTATGACCAGAGAGCTTTCAAGTCAAAAATACAGCCACAGGGAAGCCCTGACTCAGAGAGAAAGGGAACATATGAGAAAACTGAGATTACAAAGAGACATTATAAAACTACAGAGGGAAACAAAGGGAGTTATTGGAGAGACAGACAATGTTATAACTGTGGAAAAACTGGACATTTATCCTATCAGTGTGGAAAAAGCCAAAATAAACAGAGAAGCCCTGAGCTTGTACGAAGAGTCACTAGATTTATCTCAGAAAATGAGAGGGAACAGCTTAGAGACTCCAATAGTACAGCAGAGGCACATGAAAAGTCATGTAAAATCACTCCTTCACCTCTAGCTGAGGAAACAGTTTATTTGTGTGGGGTAAAAATAGATAAAATTGCTCAGGATACTGAACTGAGAGAAGTGATCAAAATAAATGGGAGAGGAACCATGACAATTCTAGATACTGGAGCTGCAGTAACTCTTGTCAGAGAGGAGTTAGTTAACAAGGAAATCATGCTTCCAAAGAGACATATCTCCTTGCAAGGTGTTTGGGGAAATTCGAGAACTGTGTCATTAGCCCAGCTGAGGATCGACTGGAGGGGGAAAGAGGGATATTTCCCTGTAGCAGTTGTTTCAGACAAGAGGATTCTAGCAATATTGGGATGAGATGTTATGACAGATAAAGCAAAGATTCAAATCCTCATAGACTCTAATGGAGTGCTACCAGATAAGCCAGGAAAACAGGCAATCCAGTCCCTTGGTATTATAACAACCAGTGCAATTGATACATTTCCAGAGAGAGAGCTGGACTCACAGACTCCTGTCAGTGTTAAAGAAAATTCCCAACTTACTGAAACAGGGAAAAACAAAGATTCTAAAGAGTTCAAGAGAGCACTTTCACATGCAGAGTTTACACAAAAAGACAGAAGAAGGCCAGAGTTTGCATATGATGTTTTGGATGATGACATGCAGTACAGGGAGGAAGAGAGAACATCAGTGTTTGAAGCTGAACTACTCCAGCATCCATTTGTTACTGTTACGTTCAATAACCCAATCCTAGAACTGACTTCAGAAACTAAATCTGAGGTTACAGTAGAAGTTGAAAATGAAAAGGAGGAATCTGAAATTTCTCTTCAATTACCCGCAAATAAGCAAGCCTCATCTTACCTCAGTATTGCTAGCTCAGAAGAGAATAAGCTGTCACAGAATACCTGTCTTTTAGAATCTGTTAGTGAAAAATTGGAACATGTGTCTGCTGCAGAGTAGTACTGGTATACATGTAGATGAAAAAGTGACAGTTGAAGCCAATAGAGTTGAAATTGAAAAATACAAGGAAAACGTATCTGATCCTTCAAAAAAAAAAAATCCTGAAAAGCTGCAGAATGAATCCATTTTACTGGGAGAAGATGTGGAAGCAAAGGAAAGTAGAGTTCAAAATACAGTATTGAATGAAGATTTAATTCTCTATCAAGTTGCTAAACCTCTTGCATCAAAAGGGAAAGCAGTTTTGCAGATTCTGGAAGTACTACCAGAAGCACCAACCCCTGAACTACGGCAGCTGACAGGTCAAACAGCTTGAGAGCAAAGAGAAGACACTTTACATGAACTTAGTATTTTCTTAGGAAATGTTACTCAAAGACTTGCCATTGACAAACGTTTCAGAGTCTTTGCAAAACCAGTTGATTTGCACAAGGTACCAGACTATGT